TAGGTAGGTAGGTAGGTAGGTAGGTAGGTAGGTAGGTAGGTAGGTAGGTAGGTAGGTAGGTAGGTAGGTAGGTAGGTAGGTAGGTAGGTTGATTGATTGATTGATTGATTGATTGATTGATTGATTGATTGATTGATTGATTGATTGATTGATTGATTGATTGATTGATTGATTGATTGATAGATTGATTGATGAGTCCAAAGAATCGAGTCTCCAAAAATATAAACCCCATTTTTCAGCCATTGTCCAGAATATTGGTGTTGAAATGGGTGAAAATCCCAGTAGATCAGCAGTTTCTGAAATACTCAGACCAGCCCGTCTGGCACCAACAACCATGCCAYGTTCAAAGGCACTCAAATCACCTTTCTTCCTCTGATGCTGGTTTGAACTGCAGCAGATCGTCTTGGTCATGTCTACATGCCTAAATGCATTGAGTTGCTGCCATATGATTGGCTGATTCAACACCTGCAAAAATAAGTAGTTGGACAGGTGGAACTAATAAAGTGGTTGGTGAGTGTAGGTTCAGTCCATTTACCATTCATACAGCTGATCTTCAGTCCCCATTTGGAACAAGTTGAAGGTGAGCTGCTGTGATTCAGGGAATAAGGTTAGTGGAATAATCTAAACACTAACAAAAAACTTTTGTTTAAAATATCATTAAATCACATTTATTGAGAAAGTATGATGCTATGTGGTGTTTACTGAAGTTGTCATATGATTCCATGTGTGTTTTCTTCTTGTTTTTATTATGACCCCACACGCAAAGCGTAAGCGGGAGTGATATTGTTTTTGTGCTGTTTTTTTTCCTCCCAAGATTTTTGGTCAACCGTAGCACAAAAACAGCTGCACCAATCAACATGAAATGTGTCAGGACTGTAGATGAGTCTGACCTACACTGCCAACGGTTTTATGATAGACCCCATATTCGAGGAGGGGGCTCCATTCAAAGAGGGGGTGTTAGGACATGCAAAAATGCTTATAACTCAGAAACTGTTCAACATAGAAGCTTCAGATTTCTTTTGTTGTTTAGCTCTGATGAAGCTCTATCCATCAGGCCCCCCAATCAGTGCCCCCCCCACCCCACACATACACATCCCAAAAAAGACCCCCACCCAAACCACTACAATTTTGGGATGCATGACATTTATTAGGAATAAAGATTCTGAGTTCTGGTGCATTTGTGCGTGCGGGGGTCATTATGTTACTGCTATGAGTTGTCTAGTTTTGTTCTATTCTTTTGTTATTTCCTCAAATTTAGAGATTGTTCAAGTTTAACTTGTTTGTTTAAAGCTTATTTTTAATAACGGGGCAGATTCTTTCTTCTTTCTGCACCTTTTCATTCAGTATTTGATTTATTTTGTTTTTAATGGATATTTGTAGTTTAAAAGAAAAGAAATAATACATCTGATCAGACTGATGATAATGATGATGATGATCTGCAGCTCCTGGATCAAACTGAACCTCTTACATCCTGTGGAAACAACAAAAGACACTTTGGATTCCAAACACAGCTTAGTTTTTTGTTTTTGTCCTAAATAATGAAGTGGAATCTGTTGTGTGTTTTCTACACTCAAGGTTAGATTGGAATGATTTTAGAACTTTGTAAAGACCATATCATTTTCATTGTGTCCTGATGTATAAAACCCTAGAAATGAGAAGAGGCGGAGTTTTTCTCTCCATTCCACAAAAGGTTTAATCAGAAGAGACKATCTCATGTTCTGTAAACAGTTTCAGTTTCTCAGATTAGATGAAGTTTATAAGATGTTAAACGTGCCGTTGCTCTTTGTCAGATCACGGGGCAGGAGGAAGTTTTGTACCAGGCAAAAGTGATCGTAGCAACAAAGGGACGTAAGCACAACCTGCCCTGCAAGAGTGGAGACATCGTGAACATCATCCGAACAGATTTCTGCCCCAAAGGGAAGTGGCTGGCCCGGGACAGCAGCAACAACTGTGAGTTTGATACAGAGTTCCTCATCAGCAGCGTGTTTGTGTCATGACAAGACTCAGCTGGTTCTGAACCTGCCTCTCCAGATGGGTACATAGATGTGCAACATGTGGAACTGGACATCAAGGAGATGTTGGAGCTGGGGAAGAAAACTGCTCGCAACACTGCTGTCATAGATCTGAAGGAAGTCAACGCAGGCAGCAGGTGATCAAACACTACAGGACACAGAAAAACAGACGCAGCTTCTCAGTCTTTAATCTGACTTCTGTCTGTTTCTCAGGGCTTCCAACATCTTCCAGACTGAAACCTGTAAGTCTATCCAGTCAGTGTTAGTGATTGTTTTTCTGCTGCAGCAGCTGAAGCTTCATGATGCCTCTGATGGTTGCAGACACAGATGACAGTGAGGAGTGGACCTGTGATGAAGATGAAACCCACTCACCCGCTCCTGATCCTGCAGAGCCGCTGATTTCAGGGTAACTGTCAGACTGATGTTTTTTAAACTCATCAATTAGCCCTCAAGGACTCCACAAAGTCTTGTTTTATTATGTTTGAGCTGGTGTCACTGCCTCACCCAGAAATCTACRAACTGTGCAGTGAACATCATCCCCACTGCGATATTCAAACAGTCTTTCGATGATGCTATTGGACCTTGTCTTTTGACTTTTATTAACAGCTGTCTAAGTTCAGGTTCTGTTCCATCTGTTTTTAAGCACGCTGTGGTCAGGCCTCTTCTTAAAAAACAGATCGAGACCCTGCAGTTTTTTCTAATTTCAGCCCAATTTCCCATCTGTCACTTTTATCCAAAGTTCTGGAAAGGATTGTTTTTATTCAGTTACAATCTTTCTTAGATAATAATGACTTGTTTGAAAAATTTCAGTCTGGTTTCAGACCCCGTCATAGCCCTGAATCTGCACTGCTTGAAGTCCAGAATGATATTCTTTTTTCTCTTGATGCCAAAAAACCTGTTGGTGATGCTGGACCTTTCAGCAGCCTTTGACACTGTGGACCATCTGGTCCTCATCACTCGTCTGGCTCAGCAGGTTGGCCTTCAGGGAGTTGTGCATGATTGGTTTAAGTCTTATTTAACAGGCAGATCTTTTTCCATCATGATAGGTGATCTGTCCTCTTCTTCAAGCCCTCTGACATCTGGCGTACCACAGGGATCTATTCTGGGCCCAGTTCTCTTCTCACTTTACTTATTGCCATTAGGACCTATTATCACACGGTCTAACTTGTCTTATCTATATGCAGATGATTTGTAAATCTATCTGCCAGTCACTCCAAATTCCTCTCTTAGCCTAAATTTCACTGTCAGCTGTTTAACTGATATCAAACACTGGCTATCTCAAAATTTTCTCTACTTAAATAATGATAAAACTGAATGGATTCTGTTTGATGTGTCCAGTAACACCTCTCACATCTCTTAAAGTCTAGGTCTTCCACTCTGTCACTTCAACCAGGTGGTAAAAATCTAGGTGTGAAACTGGACTGCAACTTTAAGCTTGATAAACAGATTGATTCTGTGGTGAAAATAAGCTTCTTTCAGCTCCGTCTGCTTTCTAAGTTGAAGACACTGCTCAGCCGTAGTGATCTGGAGAAGGCCATCCATGCCTTTGTGAGCTCTAGGCTCGATTATTGCAACACCTTATATGTCAGAATTAATCAGTCTTCCATCTCTTGCTTACAGCTTGTTCAAAACTCTGCCTCTCGCTTCTTAACACACGTAAATATGAACCCATCACTCCTGTCCTTTCTTCTTTGCACTGGCTCCCGGTTCAGTTTAGAATACAATTCAAGCTGTTGTTATTTGTTTTTAAAGCCTTAAATGGCTTTGCAGCACCTTACRTCTCTGATCTCTTGAAAATCCACCAGCCCAGCAGAGCTTAGTGGTCTGCCAGTCAACATCTGCTTGAGGTGCCTCGCTCTAAGAGCAAGAAATGGGACCAGTCCTTCTCTGTTGCTGGCCCAATAGTGTGGAATAGTCTTACACATGAGTTGTGTGCCCTCTCTGACCTGGTCCTGTTCAAAGCCCAACTTAAGACCTACTTTTTCAAAAGGGCACCTGATGTTTAATTTTTATCATCTTATGCATCTTTTTTTACTTTCTTTTATTGTAATTTGTGTTTTTAACTTGTACTGATTTATTATGACTTCATTGTATTTGTTTTACCTTGTGAAGCACTTTGGTCGATGCAAGGCATTGTTGGAAGGTGCTATATAAATAAAGTTTATTAATATTATTATATTATTAATATTTTGTATGTCTGCAGGGCTCACAGCAAGACTCTGTCCATGCCAGATATGGGTAAGACATTCCAACATACGTCACATTCATGTCACGTGTCCTGCTAAGGTTTTACTTGTCAAATGTTGCTGTTGAGCAAGTTTTCAGTAAAATTCAATTGTTTTTGTAAAATTCCATTTCCTGAAACTCAGTTATCATTCTTACAATATTTTTGCATCAGGGCTGTCTGACAGTAAATCCCACAGAGCAGTGACACATTGCTTTGTTATGATTATGATATATTTATGATGTGCACATTTAAATAACAAGGTCACTGATTCATTCAGGAAAAATGTGGTGGTGTCCAGATGGGCTGTAGATCTTCACATGCAGACATTAATGGAAAGGTTAGCTGTTTTAGATGTGCTGTGAATGAAAAGTCAGGAATTTTGAACTTACTGTATGTAAAGTTATGGTTTTATTCAAAAGCTGAAAAAGAAAATCTAAACTGTTTTACACAGTTTGTGCTACCAGCAGGCAAAAGTATGAGGATTTATGAAATCAGCAGAATTTGATGAGACACCTGGATGATACTGTCAGAGGACAGCTGACTGATCTGATGGGCTCTTTATGGATATTTAAGGTCATACAGGAAAAGCTTTTTGACAGTTTCTTTACAAGTTTTGGCTTTTTTTAGGTGCTTGAGATAAGAACATGTTCACAACCATGAGACTATTAGAGTTCCTGTGTTAACAGGATCTTATGTGTTTTGGCAAAAGGATTCAAATTCATTTTGTATTTTTGCTGTGTATTTAATTTGTGTATGAGATTTTGATTGGTGTGTGCAGAATGGGCAAAACATTCAAATCTAATTGAGGATAAATTAATGAAAAGAACACTTAAACTTACTGAGCTCCTAAAGGGACATGGGATGAAAATTTAAAAAACTATCTCATGTGCACCAGTTAGTAAGTCATATCCACCAATTAGTAAGTTGTTCCTACCAGTTAGTAAGTCGTATCCACCAATTAGTAAGTTGTTCCTACCAGTTAGTAAGTCATTCCCACCAGTTAGTAAATCTTTCTCACCAGTTAGTAAGTCGCTCCCACCAGTTACTGAGTCACTCCCACCAGTTACTGAGTCTCTCCCACCAGTTACTAAGTCTCTCCCACCAGTTACTAAGTCTCTCCCACCAGTTACTAAGTCGCTCCCACCAGTTAGTGTCGCTCCCACCGGTTAGTAAATCGTTCTCACCAGTTACTGAGTCGCTCCCACCAGTTAGTGAGTCGCTCCCACCAGTGAGTGAGTCACTCCCACCAGTTAGTGAGTCGCTCCCACCAGTTAATAAGTCGCTCCCACCAGTTACTAAGTCGCACCCACCAGTTAGTAAGTCGCTCCCACAAGTTACTAAGTCGCTCCCACCAGTTAGTAAGTCACTCCCACCGGTTAGTAAGTCGCTCCCACCAGTTAGTAAGTCACTTCCACCAGTTAGTGAGTCGCTCCCACCAGTTAGTAAGTCGCTCCCACCAGTTACTGTCGTTCCCACCAGTTAGTGAGTCGCTCCCACCAGTTAGTGAGTCGCTCCCACCAGTTAGTAAGTCGCAACCACCAGTTGCTAAGTCGCACCCACCAGTTAGTAAGTCGCTCCCACAAGTTAGTAAGTCGCTCCCACCNAACAATTCATTATAATGAGAACAAAATGTTGACTCTGTAAAAGAAATGAACTGGATTCTTGTGAAAAATACTGAAAAAGCACAAATGCATTACAAGTACTGACTATATACTTAAATTATATAYGTGTAACAATTCCAAAGGAAAAAGTAGTTGTGTCATAAATAAACTGAGTTTTCTGAATAAACAGTTGGGGTAATTTTTAAACAGTGATAGTAATAACAGTAGTAATGTTGCAGCATCAGCAAGCTTTGGAGCATCAGGAACAAGCTATAGAATAAGAACTTGAATTGGAAGTTTTAAGAATATTTCTTTTTCTATGAGAAGAAAAAAATATTKCATTCTTTGAGAATGTGTTTGCCGCATCGGCCATGTGTCCAAAAAGGGACTGGATAAGTGCTTAGATTATTCCCTTTAGAGTAGAAAGCTAGAACAGTTCAGGTCCATGTGTAGTTCCAGTCAATAATCCAAGCTGACAGAAGTTTATTCATTGGTTTGACAACCTACCATCAGCAGCAATGATGAAACTGGTGTTATCATAAAGATCCGCCATTTCCTCCTCTGTCCAACTAAACTCCACATCAGCATCTAAAAAAAAAGACAAATGGATAGGGATTTTGATGATTGGAAGGTAGTTGTTTGTAAGTTTTTGTGTGGAAAAGGACAGAATGAATAGCATTCTGTTTTAACTAGCTGCACTGCTGTCACTCCATTCTCCACTGGCTTTACAGCTTGTGTAAAAGCACACATTGTCACAGGATCAAGGCCTTTAAACACACAGGAACCGAGTGCACGTCTCTGCCAAGACCCTAACAGTGTTTCYGMTAACATCATCCAAGATGGGCACMCTGCCCTGTCAACAGAACCAAGCGCCCTGCCTACAGAAATTACATTTTCCTAAAATGTTCTGTAACATACTTAAGAAAAGGCAACATAGCAACCTTACTTACCATGTGAATGTTTTGAACTGATTATCTTCTATCTTTTAMGTTCTAAGTAAGACGATGATGCCGGACATTCTTCAGGATTTTCTGGTAGGCAGCAGAATTCATGGTTCCATTCACCAAAGCCCCAGATGATCACACCACCACCATATTTTACTGATCAGGCCTGGGTGTGGCTAGGGAAATTAAACTCYGCTTTCCAAAGATGTGATTAAACCACAGGGGGGCMTTTATGTTTTCACACAGGGCCCAGTATGTATATTTCTTTCCCCCTTAGTAATACAATTCTTCATTTTTTAATTGCATTTTGTGTTTACCTGTGCTACCTTTTTTTCTTATATTTAAATTTGTTTGGTGAACAACACTGCCATAGAGATCATCTCGCACATCAAGTTCTTGGGGGTCTACGTTGCCAATACTCTCAGCTGGTCACTGCACACAGACTACATTGTGAAAAAGGCCCGCCARTGACTTCACTTCCTGCGCAGGCTCAAGAGAGCACACCTAAACACATCAATCCTCACAACCTTATGAGGCACCATTGAAAGCGTGATCACCAGCTGCATCTCTCTGTGG